TTGAAAAAAGGTCTCCATTTTGTCGCAGGACTTATTTGCCAACCTAATAGAATCTTCTGCATGATTTTCATACAGCGGATGTTTTTCAGTGGCTCCCAGCTGAAGCTGTCAGGCATTTTTCAAACTGAGATGGCCTTGGTCGGGTTTTGATTGAGGTATGCTTACCTACATTATCCTACACTACTTATACTGCATAAATAAATGAAAAATAATTAATATTTGCACCTCCAGGAGTTATCCCTATAGGTTTTGCATTATCTTTTTCTCCCCGCTCCTTTTCTTCATCCACACAGGAGAAACTTCCTCAAGTACGTCGTTACTGGAGACGAGAGTTGGTCCTTTATGTGAACCATGAGACACATTGCCAATGGATGCCTAGTGAAGAACCACCTCCAAGACAGCCGAGAAGTGAACAACCTCAGAGGAAGGTTTTGCTATGTTGTTGGTGAGATTCTCAAAGCATGCTTATTCCGAATTACATCCTGAGGATACCACTGTGACCGCCGAGATTTACGCTTCTCAGCTACAGAATGTGACCGACGTTATCCGAAGGAAGCGTCCGCGGCGAGACAATGTTTATCTGCTTCACTACAACGCTCTACCGCATGTTGCAAAACTGTCTCGTCAGAAAATTGCCGAACTTGGATGGGAAGTGCTGCCCCATCTTCCTTATTCGCCAGATCTTGCCCGTCCGATTGCCATTTGTTACATGCTTCAAAGCATCACCTTCGCGATAGAAAACTTAATGATCGCTCGGAACTCGTAACTGTCTCCAGGCCTTTCGAGTCGCGGCCGCCACATTTGAGAGCTTCAGGAATCGAAAAACTGGGGGATCGCTGGAGATATGTTGTGAACCACGATGAAGACTATATTACTAATTGAGCACCTTCTTTTAATGGAAACGAGACGCTTCGAAATGAGGATGAAGAACCGATCAAAACTTTTTACTCAACCTAATATTATCACAAAAGCATTATCAATAAAATGAATCTAAAATAGAGAACGTCAGGTGAATAGAACGCGATCTACAAACTGCTTGCTGAACATCAGTTTCGTTTGAGAGCTAGAGCGTTATCTATGCGACAGAACTTGATCAATAGTTTATTAGAGCTTATTTTCTAGAATATTACTTGCCTGAAGAGAATCGCTCCACACCACAGCTTTCAATCCACCAATACACGTATAAAGAGTCGTCGACAGACCAAAAATCTGAAAAAGGGTCAATTCTCATGAAGGAATGATTGCATAGGTATCCGACACCCTGGTTTATGGTTACCCTTTTATGTTTTCTACACTTAATCGGAATTCCATTGAGCACGATTCCCTCAAGCAAAACCGGGATGGTGGTAACTTAACCTTGATAGATATCAACTTACTAATTAGTCTGTAATTGAACTAACTACAGGCATGATACTGCATCGTTTTGACATTACGGACTTATTGTTAATATGTATAATACATTAATTCCTGAGCGACAAAGTCTTCAGGCATTGGTCAATCCCGTCGGGGGATGGGTTCCCAAATCGATTCCATTTTGAGTCGTGGTGGTTTAATGAATACGTATGTGGCCGATACATGAGTTGGTCAACCGATGTACAAGTCAGTGCTTTTCTCCTCCTAGATGAGTCTAGTACCAATTAACCGACCCTGGAGGGAGAAGGCTTGGTAGGCCTAGGCGGATATCGATTCGGGATTCGAACCACGACCGTGTCTGTGCGATAGTGCGCCACACACCACTACACCACCTCCTCCCGCTTTACATATACATAGCTAGCGCGGCTTAAAACATGTTATCGTTGCTGGATTATTTGATTTCAATCTTTATAGTACACAATGATCTCGTAAAACTTACCAGCACTAACCACCATTTGTGAATCTGCAGAACTGGAGAAAGTGCTACAGCTGGCGCATATATCACTATCGACATGTAGATTATCGTGAATAAAAGAAACATAAATGAAAATAGTTGACGAATAAGTGGAGAGTTATACCTTAATTATGAATGTAAAGTAATTCAAAATGATGGCTTAAGTGAGTTTTGCTAGTTTGCTTTCTCTTTTACTGTAAAGACGTCGACATACTGTGTATTCCACAGCATGTCGACGGAACATGGATAGGATGGAAAGACCGACCAAAGATATAAGAATTCGCTCACCTGTGAATAAAATATTCATGCAGACAAGTGCATTTCATTTTGTGAAAAACTGGCAAAAATACTAAACAAGTGATGACAGAAGACGCTGCTCCAATAACGAAATTCAACCAAATTTGAGCGCCTATAAATATAAAAATAAACCGAAAGAAGTTCATGCGAACATTTTTGACTACAAAGTTATAGGGCCGAACGCATCACCCGTGGAGAGTGGCATGATTCCAGGTGCTGTGAAATTACTTTTGGTCAGGGAACTGAAGAATTCATGTGATGTAGCGGGAACTGTTGCAGTTCTTCCGGAAGCACAAAGTTCTCGTTTTAAGGGGAAACAATAAGAAAGAAGAATCGGTAGAGTCATGGAAAAGTCTCCACAGCCAATCCCGACATTTGCAGAAGGAGAGAGTAAGAAGGGAAAGATGTGGGAGGAGAGAACCCATAAGAAGCTTCTCAAAACTATGAAATTCACAGAGAAGAGAGGGAAAACAAGCTCAGTGGCTGCTTTCATAGTCCGCTGGCCGGTGAGCCGGCGTGCCGGCGGACTATGAAAGCAGCCAATATGAGAGAGCGAACATGCAAAGAGTAGTAAGCTAGTGAATCGGGTAAATTCAGGTCAGACCAAGGGAGGTCCGTATTACAGAAGTTCGGTAGCGATTTGCAAAAATAGAAGAGTGAAGAAATTGAATGGGAAAAATGCAAGGAAGAACATAGAAGGCTAGAAAATTTCTTTCAAGCGACAGAAACGATTATAATGATGAATGCAACCACTGAAGTAACCAAGTAGTCGAAATCCGGTAACATGTGTTTAGAACATGAAAATGTAGGTATTAACGATCATCAAAAAGCAGTGAAGGATAGAGGGCGATTGAACAAGCAGGATTAACCAGCGCTTTTGAATGATTTGTTTAAAAAAGAGTGGTTGTACTAACCTCGCTGAAACATCTCCGCCGGTACGGCTAACATAAGAATTCCTGAGAGAAATGTTGTAAGAAGTGAGAGGGCGACTGGAATAGAAGGCATGTTATGGCCACCCATCAGGTATTCATCCTTTGCACTTGACTTCGCCATTCCACTCCGTAACAAAAAGCGGCTTCTGGATAATTAATGATTTTTGATATGTCTGTTTAGGCCAAAACTCACTTTTTGCCTTGTTTCGAGAAATTTAAAATGTGCTGAATTTTTTCAATGGAAATCCGATTACCATTATCAGTTGTAAACATTGCGATTATTTCTTTTTTACTGCAACTTCCTAAAATTTTCTCAAAACGGCGACGAGCTGATTGCATGCTTAATGTGAGGGCCCTGGCGCGAATAGAGCAATCTGTATCGCTTCGACACTCGTCTGACATACCATGGTCGATGGGCGTCGACGTCGAGGAATTCCGGTAATGGGGCTCTTATTATGCCCTATCCATTGTTTTTCGTCCCGACGCCGTCCTTTTTGTTACCCTTGGGGGNGATATATCTGCAACAGGAAAAAGCAGGGTCCCTCTGTGATAATTGCAGGCTTTGAAACGAGTTGGTAAATTGAGAACGAGAGCTTCCTTATGAGCTTTTCTTTGATGACTTCTTTCACCACTGAAACTCTGAGCGTATGGATCACTCTGCCTCATTGTAAAGTGAGAAATGGGGATCGGGTCAATGATCACTCACTGATAACATGTGTTGTCTACTCCTTCCCTCTTAATCATTTGTATCCATGGTTGATCATTTTCATAGGCTGTATAAATGTATATGTTTGAAAACAAAGGAAAAGAAAACTGGAGAAGGAAGGACTACGAAGTCTTTAGTGCCTTGACCGATTACTGGAAAATAAAGAAATTCTAAAACACCTCAAGTACTAGAATTTAATTTTTCACTCTTTTTATATTTATATATTTTTATATTCTTTTTATATTTTTATATGGGACATCTAATAGTAAGAATAACTTCTTCAAACACTTCCGATGTACTTTTCGGTGTTTCGAACTCGGCTCTCACCTGTCGTTAAATTTTTTAAGATCAGTGTAATGATCATAGGAATTTTTCGTGACTGGTGTAGTCAGGGCCTCCAAGACATCGAAAACTTTATTAGCCTCGGAGATCCCGCCCATCGCCCATGTGTTACCCATACCAGTAATCGGGAGGGAACCGCTAATTTCAGATCCCATGGATAATTTCAGATCTCATAGATATCTTACGATGGCATCATTCTGTCAATACCAACCCACGCAAAAGCCCTGAAGATCGTTTTCTCTGGAAGTCTGTAAAGTTGAGAATAAAGTGTCAAAAGGTCTTGGAAGAATATTCTTGTTGTAGATGTATGACCTTATCCGCATTTTGAACTTCTAAAAATTGATGATTTTTTAAAAACTATGTCCATTACCTTTTCAATCTGTAAAAAACTTCCCTTTAAGCAAATGTAGATGATCTCACCTACCTGATGGCATGATATACACCAGTTCCAATGGAAAGGCTCAAACTGGCGGCGAAAACTGCGTAATCGACCCATGAAAGGGTACCAGTAGCCATTTACCGTGTTACCGACTGACCTATGATAGGTTATCGTTGCATAAGTAAGTACTCAAGGAATGTTGGCAGACTGCCAGAGCAGGTTTGCCTGATGATCAGGTTAATGCGAAGATGAGGCAATAAAACAAACGATGCAGTAAACAACGATGCAGTTCAAAGAAAACAATAACGGATAGTAAAAGATTAACGCCAAAGGAATTGTTGCAGAAGATTGAAACTGGGGTCTGGGAGAGGTCTTGCACTGCCCAGTCACCTTGTGAGAATTCGGAGATGCAATCAACAAATGATGGATTATGAAAAACACGTTACATCGAAAGTCTGACCAGCTGTCAATCTTTCTCAACAAAACTGATGATGGGCTTTTCTTTTGCTATTTTTTAGGTTTGAGTATGATAGATGGAGCAGGTTGCTGTGCACTTAAGCTTACACGAATTACACCGGCTTGTGTCTTAAATATCACTTGTACAACCCTGGAACCTGATCCCCTTTGAAAATAGAATGCCACGGGGAAAACCATTTGAAAGTACATTCAAATTCAATGAAACCATACTGAAATTGTGTCTTAGAAGGCTTTTGTCCGCTCAAATTCATAATTTTCTGGTTTTCAGTGAAAGGAAGGTTGGTAGTGGGCTGTGTTTCGAGGGGGTGCAGGCAGTGATGTAAGAATGGCAGCCTCACTTCGAGTCCAGTGCGATGGTGGCTGTGATATAACGACTAGAGACACTAGAATGAGAAATTACATTATGAAAATGCAACTCTTTGAAATAAATCGTATTTGGTTACACCTTTTCCTATGAACCAACTCTAAAAAAGCAAAACTGTGTCCCAAAATTGAGTAATTCTAACGAATTTCATTCGTTCTCAGAGCGAAAATGTTACTTCAGAAACTAGGGATCTTCTCACAAGATTAAAAGAAAAAGTTTACCTTGAAAACTATTTTTATTACTTGATGGCTTCTCGAGGAAAACGCCCAATGCGTCGAAAGCGATATAGGACCCGGGTTGAAAATATCAAAAATTTCTCTGTTCGGCACAAAGTACCTTAACAGATTAGCAATCAACATTGCTACGTATGCCTGCTATCCTAATCCAAACATGGTTTCCCATCCGTGAATGAAAAACTGGGTTGATGGGCTATAGTCCAGCCCACCACGCCTCATGTAAACACTAAGAAACGGTATGCGAATTAAGTTTACGGTTTTGTGGACATTGGCTTTTTTAGCCTTTAAGTAGGATATAAAGGCGGAGATGGTGTTGGCTCAAGTGGCGTACTATCACATGCGCATGGTCTGGAGATCGAATTCCAGGTAGGTGTTCGCTCGAGAGATTCTTCCGTGCTCAAGGGATTGGACAAATGGTACTAGACTCTGATGAAGGCGTTCCCTTAATCATGGCTCCAAAGAGCTGGTACCATTCTGAATGGAAGAGAATGCTATGGCTCACTCCACAAATGGAATCGGTCGAGGTTACAGACTTTAAAAATTACTTCTATAAGGCATGAGAATGAGAGGGAGAAACTTATAACGAATCTATCGAGACGATGGCTCATTCAAAGAAAGGATCAATCGAAAGAATTATTCCTACAGTGTGGCTAATAAGACACAACTGAAGTTGCCACTCTCACTAAATAAAGAATAGATGTCTCTAGATGTCAACCAGTCCCGTCTGAAGAATGCGCCTTGCAGCCGGCTCCCATTCAGAATCGGCGGCGTAAAGAATGTGTATGTGGCCTCTACATGGACCTGGGGTAGCCAGCCAGTCTACAAGTCAGCGCTTTTATCCTCCCAGACGAGTCTCGTACTATTTAACGGCCCTGGAGGGAAGGAAGGCTTGGTTACCAGAGGCTCACCCCTAGATCACCACCTCCGCCGTCTTACTCACTAAGAAGCTCAAAGATGGTAGGTGTAGTTTGGAACGCCTATACGGTAGATCAGAAGCTTCATTCATGGTTATCGAAAAAAGAACTGGTTTTCCATTTGGCTTTCTTTGTTTTTTTTTTCACAAGTCCAAGTGAAATTTAAAGATAAACAGTAATGACGATGAAAAAATGGTCAAACTGAAAATCCAGAGCAATAGGTTTTGATAGAGGGGCGGAGAACAAATATGAGAAAACTTTAGTGTTGCCTTTTTATGGAATGGTATCAATATGCTATAAAATCTTAGATAATCTTTTTGATAGGGTGAAAAAAAAGGGGGTCAAGTTGTTGTTCCTGGAATGAATCCTCTCTTCAAAACTTCAGTGAAACAAATAAAAGGATATGTTTGCTGAAAACATGCTAGCTTGCTGTTTTGCTCCACGAGTTTTTGACGTATCGTATTTCTGTTAAATGAACCGAAGCAGGTTCGAAATGCACTGCAAACCAGGAAGTTATATCAAACACAAATGAGGGTACAGGTGGTGTACGTAGTGGCAAGTAGCGCACAATCACACACGCACGGTTACGGGTTCAAATCCATCGAATCGATATCCTCCTAAGCGAACCGAGCATTCCATCCCTCCAAGGTCGGTTAATTGGTACCAGATTCGTTTGGGAGGATAAAAGCACTGACTTTTGCATTGACTGTCCACGGCAAGTCCTTGTATAGGCCACATACGCATTCAACACTTCTGCGATTCTGATTGGAAGTGGAATGTGTGGGAGCATCTCTCAGTCGGGGCTGATCAACGCTCCAAGGGTCTATTCTTTATACATAAATGAAGCTTCTGAGTTTTCATGATGTAAATACCGGGTGAATGTTTCTACCAGGCTGTCTTGGAAACACGATTACTTAACCAGCTTTTCAATAAGTATGTTTAGCAGTGACTTTTTAACAGACTAACCATTCAATACATAAGCATTCTGTTGAAAGCAATGAAACTATCATCATAACTAATTAATTTATAATTGGGAATAGAAGCTTGGTGGGCTGACGAGGTGATACTATTAAATTCCGATGTATGGAAAATTGACATGTTATTTTACAAAAATAAAAAAGCATACTATTATATATATATATATATATATATATATATATATCTGATGAATCACCTAGTTCAAATAATGTGGGAGAATTTTTTCAAAAAAATAATTTCCCATTTCGTCGAACAATGAACTTCCTCCACGGCTGAAGGTTAGCAGTTGAAAAAATTGCTCAGAAGAGCTCTAAACCTTTTCAGTAATTTGATCACAAAAGAAAAGTATTGTTAACATCGGAGCTAAACCAGGAAGGCAGTTATGTCTAAAAGAGGGACAGGAAAAGGAAGTAAAAGAGAAAGAGGAAAAGAAATAGTAAAAAAATAATTGAATTTCAGCGATTACCTGCTAAGTACGTCATCGGATCTTCATGAACAATGACCAGTTTTCAAATATAGGGATTCAGTATATGAATTATTCCAGACTGATCAATTCCTTCAGAAAAAAAACTTTCGATGAAAAAATTAGGGTTCTTTCTACATGCGTCCTTCATGCCCCCATGACAGGTGTAGGATTAAATCGCAAATAATGAAACAGTGTTCGAGCTCACAGGAAATAATTAAAGCAAAATACCTATAATCTTCATCCCAAGAGTTAACGAAGA